GAACAGGTGCAATTAAAAAAAAACAAAAACCTTAGCAGGTATCTGCACAGGAAGACAATCTTATTCATCACTCTGTGTGAGAATTAGGTGTTTACTCTTTTTCTGCATAATATGCATTGGGCTGTGGTTAGGGCATGCAGTAAAAACTCAAATTGTTTTTCTACACATTTTATGTGGACGTGGATAGTAATGACGTTTACTTTGGGTGGGTGTGATTATTCAGTTTCAAAATCTAGCAACTCTGTTTTTTTTAAAATGATAGGAATTATAAATAGGCTTCAAATAATAGTGGTTTGGGGACTGTGAACACAATATTGATACTGTGTTCATTTTAAACAAGAGAAGGTCTTTGGATCCCCCTAGAAGCAGGCCAAGACTTTTCTTATAAAAAATTCAAACTGAATCAATTGCCACTAACTACAAAGGTTATGCTTTATATTAATATCATTCCCTTAATGGAGAATCTAATGGGTGTTTAATGGTACCTCCTGGCCCTGATTCACGAGACCTTCCATAGCCTGGCTCCCTCCTATGGCTCCTCCATTCTTCTCAATATCTACTGGAACCTTCAATCCCCAGGTATTCTAGGAGGAACAAGGCCACTGAAGATGCAATCCTCATGGAAGGTGTAGTAGTAGACAACATGTTCAGAGAGAGAATATTTAATTCCTAGGCCTTCAATCCCCCATCTTAAAAATGGAGATAATAATGGCACCTACCTTATGAAGTTGTTTTGTAAAATAAATGAGGTAACTGAGTAAAGGTTCCCTACCACAAGATTAACGTTCAGTTAACGTCAGCTATCATTGTTGGTGTGTTCAGTCCTTTCGGGGCCAAGGCTGACTGGACCATAAGCGAGGGAAACCAGTGAATAGACTAACCAGCATCCTATGTCAAAAATGGCATAGCTTAATAAGTCCTCAGAAATTTGAAGGGCCAGCCCAGTGGTGCAGCGGTTAAGTTCGCACGTTCCGCTTTGGCGGCCCGGGGTTCACCGGTTCGGATCCCGGGTGCAGACATGGCACCACTTGGCACACCATGCTGTGGTAGGTGTCCTACATAGAAAGTAGAGGAAGATGGGCATGGATGTTAGCTCAGGGCCAGCCTTCCTCAGCAAAAAAGAGGAGGATTGGAAGCAGTTAGCTCAGGTCTAATCTTCCTCAAAAAAAAAAGAAAGAGCTTTGACTGGATATCACTAAGAGGAAAAGACAATTACTTAGAGAAACTGAAGCTAAAAGGTCAAGATGTAGAAGAAAGGTCAAACTGGGAACCATGATAAACTATAGGAAAGCTCAATTTCTAGGCTTCTCTGACTTCTGCCTTCTGTAAACACTTCTTGCACTATCCAATTTACTCACTTAATCATATAATTTTGTTACTTTTGACTTCTGAATGTGCGTGTGTTGGTTTTGTATCCCTGTATCATTCAGGGTCTAGATGAGAAAACTGCAATTATTCTAGGTATCTCAAACAGAGAGGATTTAATATAGGGAATTGGTTACACAGGTGATGAAAGAGCTGAAAGTGAAACAGAGGACATGAGATTAGCAATAGAGGGAAGCTAGTACCAGCCCTAGGACTGGAGAGAGAAAGGGTGTAAGTTACCAAAGCCCAGGATTTGGGGCCATCCGCTGGAATCTGGAATCATAATAGGCTGTAGGTGGGAACTGGGATCAGGAAGAGAGAGGTTATCCTTCAGAAAGGGAGCGACAAAGGAGATAAGCCACATCAGAGGTACCCTGTGAAGCAGAGAATGGAGAAGTACTCCAGCTTCTGCCCTCCTCTTGTCCTTCAGTCTTGCACTAATGCCTCCCACTGGCTGAACCACCCGAAAGCCAGGGGGCAACAGAGCCTGAGGAAAGTAGTTCCCTGAGGAATGGAGCTGAGAGCAAAATGGCACACGAGGAGCCAAGGCCCAAGCATATAAGCTGCTCAGTGTCATCTATGGCATGCCCTGGGTGTTTACTCTCTGTAGATAGTAAAGGAGTATTCCGGTGATAGAGATGTATTATTGCCCCTGTTTGGGGTGTGATTCTCTCTCTAAAGAAAAGAGCTATGAGAAGGGGAGCACTGAAATTCCATAGTCAAATTCAAGAGAACATGCTTGAAAGTAAAAAGGATATTTTTAAACTCATAGAACTCTGAAGCTCTCGTCTAATGTTTTCCAGCTACAACCTGATGACTCAGAAGATTTTCTTTTTTGATTTTGTTTTAGCAAATCTTGATTATCAATGTGATCAGCCCTCTCTCCCGGATCTGGAGGGAATGATTAGCAGGAGGCTAGCCGTGAACTGAACCAGATAACTTTGCACTTGAAAGGGATTCTTTTTGCATTCTTAATCTCAAGGATATTTTAAATAGCATTGAAATAAATGTTTGCACATGACCTATCTTGGTGATGGATTCTGAATTTTGGAAAATATTTTATGTGTTGTTTTACTACCTTCCCATTCACTCTGATATATGATACTGCATGTGTGTGTTTTAATTGCATCTTGATTAAAATATCAAAGCTATTGAAAATCCAAAGTTGTTCTTACATTGTAAAAGCTAATTTTAGTTCATCTGTGCAGTGTCAGAAATTGTATCAACTTGTAGAGTGTTACGGTGTGACACAGGTTTTGCCATTCGATTCCTCATGGCAGAGAGGTAGATCTCAACAAGACTGGCCATTAACATCCTGCTATTGCTGGACACCAATTAGTAAAGTGAGCCAGACTTCTTCAACATCTGGAAGCCCTAAGGGAACTCCTCCTGAGCCTACTATTAACTCATCCTGACACTTGTTCCTTTGTTCATGCTTTGCCTCAAGTTCACTCATGGTGTATTTATTTTTAAACCAATCCTGGCAAGAGCTATCACCTTACCGACAAACAAATAAAGGACCTACTGGATCTTAGGCTGAAAATATCCCTCAATCTCTGCGGAGACTGGAATTACATAGCCGTGAACTGTATTGTTTGTAACATAACTTGCTGCATTTCACACATTTGTCTCTGAGGTCACCCCTTGTTTGTAAAAATATTATCCTTCCTGCCATTTATAGGTGGAGTCATTACAGCCATATGGATGTAGGTGTAGCCTGTTTTGGAAGATCCTGGTGAGAACCCCCAACTCTCCACACTTCCCATCTCACCATCAGTTCCTGAATATGGAGTCCAGTGGGAAACTCATGTCTCATCTTTTTCTCCTTTGAGTATGTCAGGTATGTAGAGTTGGATACTGGTAGGGTGTCTACCTGGCCCATGTTAACCCTCTACCTCTAAGAATTGCCCCTCTCCATACACAGAGAGGATTGGCTCTTAGGCAGCTATGTTTATACAGCTTGACTTCATCCACATTAATTGGACCAGAGTGGTCAGTTACATGACCCATTCAAGGCCATTAATTTTCTCTCTCCTTAGAATTTACAACTGAGAGACTGCTACTCAGGGTGGTCTGGTGCCTTGAACCAAGGAGATGTTACCTGGGAGGACATAAGTAGCAATTTCAGCCAAGGGCACAAAATTCAAAAGGAATTACATGTGAAGAGAGGAAAGAACAAAGCAGATTTGGAGAGAAAAGCCAAAGAAAAAGAGGTGAAATTATTGCCTAGTGAATTCATTACCTATTGCTGTACAACAAATTATCCAAAAGATATCAGCTTAAAATGTCCAACATTTATTAGCTCACACAGTTTCTGATAATCAGGAATCTGGGACCAGGTCAGCTGGGTATTTGTGGCTCAGGGTCTCTCATGAGTGTGCAGTCAAGATGTCGGCTGGGGCTGGAGAATGCGCTTCCAAACTCACTATGTGGCTGTTGGCAGGAGGTTTCTGTTCATTGCCATATCACCCTCTCCACTGGGTTGCTTACATGACATGGCAGCTGACTCCCCCCAGAGCTGAGACAGAGAGAGAGAGAGAGAGAACACCCAAGAGGATGAAGGAGCTTAGTTCTCCTCCTCTTGAATGTGTGCCAGACTTAGTGACTCTTTCAAAGAAAAAACATTGAAAGGGAAAACTAGTGACTATATAGTAGAGAAATACGGCAGATACCAGGTAACCAACAATCAAGGTTTAACATCACCGGTGATCAGTCATACTGATATTATATACTCCTGATATGATGTGATGAGAAGGGTATCTCGCCTTGTGGTATTCTTCTCCCAAACTCATGATCCCAGATTAGTTCTGAGACAAAGGCAGACAAAACCCAAACTTAGTGACATTCTACAAAATAACTGACAAAGACTCTTCAAAAGTTTTAAGGTCATTAAAAAAAAAAAAGACTTTGAAACTGTCACAGAGCATAAGAGATTAAAGATACTTGATGAATAAGTGCAATGGGGCATCCTAGATTAGATCCTGGAACAAAAAAAGGAGAAAACTGGTGAAATCTGAATGAAGTCTACGGTTTAATTAATTGTATTGTACCTATGTTGATTTCTTAGTTTTGACAAATGTACCACGGCTATGTTAACACAGGGGAAGCTGGGTGAGTGGGGTATGGAAGTTCTCTGTACTATCCTTGCAACTTTTCTGTAAATCTATAATTATCCCAAAATTAAAATAAAATTTAAACTGAAAATAAAAAACCACCCCCAAATCAACCAACCAAACAAAACCAAAAACAATATGCAAAGTGACAAGCCTTGAGTGGGACTAGACCCCTTAGGAAGGAGGTCTAGATTAGACTTGTATGTGGGTGATTGAGATAGTCCAAGAAGGCTTCTTGGAGAAAATAAGGGTCACTTGCATAGAAAAGAGAGTGAAAAATGTAGCTGTAGTATCATTAGCATCATGAAATAGTCAAGTAACTTCTAATAGAATTGTATGGGCTCAACATAATGGGGCAGAGGTGGTCGCGGTGCATGGGGTGAAAGAAAGAGTAGCACGAACAATGCTGGAGAAATTGTCCTGAGCTCTTCAGATAACATTGACACAGCTTAACTTTCTGTAGGAGATTGTATTAGTCTGCTCAGGCTGCCATAAAAAAATAGCATGGACTTGGTGGCTTAAACAACAAAAATTTATTTCTCCTAGTTCTGGAGGCTGCGAAGTCCAAGATCTGGGTGCCAGCATGGTTGGATTCTGATGAGGATTCTCTTTGTAGCTTGCAGATGGCCACCTTCTCACTGTGTCCTCACTTGGTGGAGAGAGATGAAGAGAGAGCTCTCTGGTATCTTCTCATAAGGGGACCAATTCCATCATGAGGCCCACACACTCATAACTTCATCTAAACTTAATTACCTCCCAAAAGCCCCATCTGCAAACATACAACCCATGGGGTTAGGGCATCTACATACGAAACGGGGGGGGGGGGCATACAAACATCAGTTCATAACAGAGATCTTATGAGACAATGCTGTATCCTCCAGCCCTGGGGTAGATATACCCTACGGTAGAGTTGGTATGCTGAGATTACAAAAATGCACACTGTATCCCTAACTCTCAGTGGCTTACATAAAGGTTTATTTCTCACTTATGCTCCATGTCCATCACGGGTTGAAGGGTGGCTATGTTCCTGCCATCCTCACTCAGGGACCAGGTCATAAGGAAGTCTCCACTCAGTGATTGCTGTAGACAAGGGAAGAGAATGTGAGAAATCACATACTGACTCTTAAAGGCTTCTGCCTGAATGTGGCATGCATTGCTTCCATTCACGTTTCGTTGGCCAAAGCAAGACACAAAGTGAGGTCTAACTTCAAGAGTGTGGGAAATTCAATCTTACCATGTGCTTGGAAGGAGGAAAATGGAATACTGGTGAATAGTCCTACTAATTACTGTAATAAGGAGTCCACGGCACAGTATCACCAGGGGTGTCATTGCCCTTCTGACTCCTCATCCCTTTCCATTTCCTTCTTTTTACTCCCTTCCTTCTTATCTTTATACCTTTTTCATCCTTTGTTCTCTCTTTCTTTCCCTCCTTCCCATTCCTGAATTTAAATAATTACTTTCTAATCACAAAAATGATCTAAGTTGCAAAAAATTCAAATAACACTGAAACATACAAAAAATTTGTCCATTTCTTCTCCTGCCAGAGATAACTACTCTTAACAGGTAGGGTGGGGAAGATAATTCCAGATCATTTTCTAGATAGTGCAATTATGAATATCACAGTACATTTCAAAATTGCCAAAGCAGGATCACACAATACACAGTATTTTGCAACCTGCTTTTTTATTTAACAGCATATCTTGGACACCTCTGCTTGTCTTTAAGTCAGGAAACAACCACCACAACGACAAAACGTTAACAACAATCATTTATTGAACACTTCTGCTGTGGCCCTCACTGTGGACTCACCATGAAACATGACAGCGTTTCTGCCCTTAAGATTATGTTTTATTGAGGAGAGATCTTTGTCTGATTCTGCTTCTGTCGCTAATAGTTGTGAGTCCTTAGCCAGATATCTTAGCATTCTTGGGCCTGTGTGTGCTTTTGCTTTTGTTTCAACTACAAAAATCAAGAGGTGGGCTGTATGTTCTCACTGTACCAGTGGGTCTAATTCTAACTGTATTAAGATTTATTTTGTTACTGTTGCAAAAAACAGACACTGGCTCTCACTAACTGAAGCAAGAAGAAGGAATTAATTGGAAGAATATTGTGTAGCCAGGCATCAGAAGGAAAACGGGAATAATCAGGTCTGGGGGAGGGCAGGAACCAGGGGTCCTCGGTGGATCTCTGTAGCAGGAACTCCTGGGTTGATTTTGCAGGGGGCTGCTGTTGGATGACTCAGCTCCAACAGCCTTCCCTCCTAGGGTTTCTCTGTAGGAGACTTCGCTTTCTGGGAGAGAGAAGGTTATTGGTCTAGCTTGGGTCAGCAGTTGACTCCTCTGACCAGAGGGAGTTGGGTACTGTTGCTGGATAGCTGTACCAATACCACCTGCGATGGAGGTGAGGCAGTTCCCCAAAGGCAAAGGGAGGTGCCCTGAGGAGAAGGAGGAAAGAAGGAAGGAAGGCTGACTCAATCAAAACCAGATGTTCACTGCCCTAATTTCTTCCTTTTTCCTCATTCTGTCCTCTCTCTCTCTTACTTTCTATTATGAATTTTCTCAATTTTCTACCTTTCTTTTGCCTATCAGTGTCTTAGGTTTGGCAGCCAATGACAGGCTTTGTTTAATTGAGCTGGTGGGATTTCAGTGTCCACGGGCTTCTGATCTCTTCTTTGATGCCTCTAAGAGAACGCCTTTGGGACAGATGGTTGAACTGCTGCACATTCATCCATTTTTTCAACATTTGGAGACTCAATGAGATCACAGTACTTCGTGCCTTTCACGTTTTTCTTAACAGCTAAATTGAAAACTCCGTATTGAAATCTCCTAAATTTACTTGTGGCACCGTTTATAACAGTGAGAATTGGAAACAAACAAGATGTTCAAGAAGGGATGGGTTACATAATAGTTAGGTAAGCCACGCCATCTCTTCCACAGCCATATCATCCAGTGACTCAACTCTTTTTTCCTTCTTTAATTATTACTTAATCCTCAGAGAATCTGAGGAGAGATATGGGCTCCCTCTCTAGAAAAATGTACATACATTTTGCATACAATTTCTCATAAATGTTTTGTAAAAGCTTACCTATAAATCCAGGAGTGGTTCATACTCACTTTATATACTCTTGATGTGGAATACTCTGTAGACTTAATCATGATGATGAGTATATTTTTAACATGAAAAGCTATTCAAAATATATTATGTAAAGAAAAATTGGTTACAGAAGAAGAGAACATTGTGTGTGTGTGTGTTTGTGTGTGTGTGTGTGTGTATGTGTAGTAACATTAGGAATAAATTTGGGTGGTTGTCCAGGAAAATACTGAAAGCATTTCTCTCTGGTGGGTCAATTAGAGACAATTTTTTTCTTTTTGTTTATTGTAGTATTTCCAATTCTTCTAAAATTAACATATATTACTCATGAAATTTTTTAAGAGAAGAATAAACAGTGATGAAGGAAATATATGCTTTAGTCACTTACTGTTCAGTTTTTTTATGCTGTCTGGTTTTCACAGCTCTTTGATTAATGGTAGAAACAAGTGCGAAGAGTGGATAAAAGAAGGTCATATATCAAGCACTACAAAGAATTTTAAGGATTACATCTATAATTTATCATTTTTTTCTCATCATACTCATTGCCATTCTTATCATTGATCCAAATGGCAAATTAAAAAATCCCCATTTTTCCCCTTGCTTTCAAAAACTATATGTATATGTTGTAACAAAATAGAACATTGCAAAACTGTGTGATCTTTCAAAGTGAAATTTCTTTATAATTCCTCCTTCAGTCTCAATAATAGCTGTTAATGGTTTAATCTATATACACCACTACACACATATACACACACACACAGTTTGTTTCCTAAATGAAAACAGAATTCACTTACATTGTTTGCAATGTAATATTTTTTCTTTTTTTATCTTTTTTTTTTTTTTTGGTGAGGAAGATTGGCCCTGAGCTAACATCTGTTGCCAATCTTCCTCTTTTTTTTTCTCCCCAAAGCCCCAGTACATAGTTGTATATCCTAGTTGTAGGTCCTTCCAGTCCTTCTATGTGGGACGCTGCCTCAGCACAGCTTGATGAGCGGTGTGTAGGTCTGTGCCCAGGATCCAAACAGCAAACCCCAGGCCGCTGAAGCAGAGTGTGTGAACTGCGTCAGCCTCTGCATTTTTTTCATGTAAAATTTATTTTGGACATTTTTCTATGTCTGCTTATAGTGCTCAGAATTGTTGTTTTTAACACTTGCATAGAATTCTGCTGTAAGGATGTATCATAATTTATCTATAGCCCCCTGCCACGGACCCAGTTTTCCAAAATAATAAAAAATAATGGCAATGAAAATTCTTGTATATGCATCTTCACACCTTTGTGAGACTGTTTCTGTAGTAAAGATGCCTAGAACTGGAATCCTTATTCTTAATTTTTCACCAGGTAACTGATTTGCAGTCCGGTTTCTTAGTGAACCTGTATGTCCTCCTGAAGCAGTGGCAGCGTGCAAGTTGCTGAGCTGTCCAGCTGGCTGTGGACTGAAGGTGCTCAGGATTCCTGCTTGACTGAACAGCTTTAATGCTAAGAAAGCAGGACTTCTGGGCAGCCAGCATGTTTGCTTTGGTTTCATCGTCAGTAGGGGAAACATATCCCCAGAGAGAGTGAATGTCTCCACCCAATCTTCTCTTCTAGTCTCTATTTGAGGGGCAGAGAAGTCCAGTGACTATTTGAGGCAACAGGAAGGACTAGGAAGGTTGTCACTTAGGGTGACTAGGTTGACAGTGAAAAGAGGCAAGTGTCATTCCAGAAACTTATTTTTTATTATTCAAGATGTTTGGATTATTAAAATACTAATGGTAAATATGGCCTCAAAGCTGTCAAATGCTGTTTATCCTCCCCTCCCACATTTGCAGAGGCCTGCTCCCAAATCAACAAGCACCCCTTCTCAAGCCCCATAGGGGAATAATTTTCCCTACAGACAGAAATGTTTATAAAAATCAAGCCAAAATGTATCTGTACAATGGGATGCTAGACAGTACTAAAAATAAATAAACTAAAGCTGCACACAGGAACATAGATGAATTTTTCAAACCTGTTGAGTAATAGAGTCAAGATACAAAAGAATTCATACAATATAATTCCTGATTACTTATCTATTGTTGCATAAAAAATTACTCCAAGGTTTCTTGGTAAATGCAACAGAAATCATTTATTATTGCTCAGGGTTTCTGTGGGAGTGGCTTGGAACAATTCTGGCTCAGAGTTGCTTATGAGGTTGCCATCAAATGCCTTATTGTGGACAGTTATCTGAAAGCTTGACTTGGGCTGGGGGATCCACTTCTGAGATGGCTCAGTCCCAAGACAGGCAAGTTGGTGCTGGCTGTTGGTGGGAGGCCTCAGTTCCTGTCACCTGGGCCTCTTCACAGGACTGCTTGAGTTTCCTCAGGCTCCCCTCAGAGTGAACAATCTGAGAGAATGAGGCAGAAACGACAATAAACTTTCATGACAGCCTTACAAGTTGGTCACACAGACCAGCCCTGATTCAGTGTAGGAAGAGACCGCCAGGAGAACAGGATCATTGGGGGCCATCTTGGAGCTGGCTACCATAATATCATTTATCTAAAGTCCGAAAATAGGCAAAAATAAACTATATTGCTTAGGGAGGCATACATACGTGTTAAAATTATAGAAAAAGGAAATGATTACCACAAAAGTGGTTACCTCTTGGAAGGAAGAAAGTGTGAGTGGACAAGGATCATTATTTGTAAGAGAATACATTTATGTTGTGCACTTTTCTGCAGTGTATTATATATCATAATTGCAAGAAAAGGTTCTTTTAAAAAAAATTAAACCAAAAGAGAATTAATAAGAGAAACAGAAAGTGTCCTTTTCTCTTTTATGCCTCAAACATAGATCAATGGATTCCTACAGGCTAATTTAAAGTACGGTCAAAAGAGGAACAACAATAAAGGCGACATTAATACTAATAATAATATGACATTAGCCAACAGTCCTTCTGAGTTCCAGACGATATAAAGCAAAGTGCTTTACACTGTTTCCTTACTTGATCCTCACAACAACCAATGTGGGTCTA